AAAGTAAGTACATATAACTCGGTAAAAGTCACATTGGTACTTGCCGTTGCGGTTGGTAGGTTTCGAAACTGCACCCTCATGCATGAGAAGCGGGCATCTTAAACCTCCGTGCCACCACATCTAAATATTACAAATCATAATATCTACTAGATCAGTCTTAACATAACTGCTATCGGTTACTCGAATCTGTCACATTTTATTTATAAGATTTTCGACTTTACGTCAATACAATAAAGTTGAAGATGTAATAGAGAAATTTGTCAGAAAAGGATAGATTGATTTGCAGGTTACACATTAATCGTCGTTTCATCTCTTACTTCGTACCTAGGTTTTCTGGTGGGCTACAATATGGAGTTCTTCAAGAAAGGAGTAAATTGGTTTATGTAGGGTCGGCAAGGCACATACATGTAATGCCTCAAGCGTACATACATAGGTCACGGTAACCACTTATCATGAGGTGGGTCGTGTGCTTTTTTACCTAGATGAATTTAGCTATGATATCGCTAAAAAATTCAAATCAACAACTAAATACCACTTTTCTCACCTTCGGAGGCCCAATTGCCTCCCTAGTCCCCGTCTCCGTCGCGGAGAACCTAAAGGGTAACCGGGGCTCCGGCTCCACGTGCAGGAGAAGGAACGGGTTGGTTTTTAGTCAGTAAGAGTCTGACACTCCCTTCCGCCTCACCCAGGCGGGAGCAGTCATTCGATGATTTTCCCCCCTTAATAAAAAAAAAGTCCCCGTCCCCGAATCTCCGAATCCTCCACAATCCTCAAATTCCCAATTCCCAAAAGGTCGGTAACGCATTTGTAACGCCTTGGTGTTTCGAGTGTCCATGGGCGGCGCCGATTGCTTACCATCAGGTGATCCGTCTGCTAGTTCACCGGCTAATGCTATAAAAAAAAATTTCAACAAAAGTATAAAGGTGTAATGTAGATAAAAACAACATGAAGAAATAATATGAAGAGTACCTACGATGACTAAAGATAAATACTAACGAGCAGCATTTCTGTAAGTGGCCCAGAATCAATCATTGATTCATTGATTCATGAAGCTGCACCTGTCATTTGATTATTCAGCAGTTTCTGTCTAAGATTTGTTTAACAGTACCAACTGCGTTATGTATTGTACAGTGCGTTGTATTATAATTATTTCATTAGGTTAGGGTTAGGTAGTTAGAAGTTTACGAAAAGCGGACAATGATATAGCAATTTTTACATATTAATTCAGCATATTTTTTTATGCCATAAGCCGGTGAACGATCTGACGGATAGCTTGATGGTAAGCCATCGGCATCGCCCAAGGACATGGAACACCAGAGGCGGTACAAGTGCGTTACCGGCCTTTTGGGGATTAGGAATTTGAGAATTGTTGGAGATTGAGGGATTGGGGAGGGGGGGGGGGGGGGGGGTAATTGGGCCTCCAGTAACCTCACGACGAAACACAACGCAAGCGTTGTTTCACGTCGGTTTTCTGTGAGGGCGTGGTAAAAATGTCACGTCAGTTTTATGTCAGAGTCATCGTCTTATTCCGACTTTTACTCGTATACAGTCTTCTTTTGTACATCTCTAACTGTTCATTTTTTTGGATTTACTCCTGTGTCGTGGGTGTGTTCACATACACATGACACCCAGACCCGTATTAAAAATTTGTGGATCACACAAAGAGTTGTTCCGTGCGGGAGTCGAACCCGCTTGCCCAGCCACCGCACCAACCGTGCCGTCATTTAATTATTAAAGTTAATTTCTTCCTCCCTTTTTACGTACTATTGTAAATAGTACTACTCACGTAGTATTATCTCCATCAAATAATTTCGCGTGCACTCAGTAATGCCAGTAATGCTCTCAATTTGTCGTAACAGATGCGTTACACAATTTGCGTTACGTTGCTCGGGGCATTCGCTTCACCTTTGCACTTTTGCTTTTATTTTGTTAGCCTTCTATCTCTAAAGAAGTTATTTAATGTTTTTAACATAACATAATAGCTAGTTGAGAACGTAATATCTAAGTGGCTAGGCTAACATTTACCTAGATTTTAAGACTACGTGTTTTAAAACTGCCGTTGATTTGCCAATGTTTATGATGCTTACGTTACATGTAGACATTTTTACAACTACATGTGAAAATTCTGCAATTTGTGTCAGATTTTTTTCTTGTTTCATTGCTGTATTGTTGGCTAATGAGTGTCCTCATTGCTATACGGATATGAATATGGATTTCAACGACGTTGGGGTTAACCTGATTGTCTTCAATGCCCGAGTCAATAGATTGCTTATGGGACGACGTGCTCCATCATAGACCAGGCGAGATAGTGGTCAAACGTCGGCCCATAAAATATAAAAAAAACAGTATTGCTAGTGTTTGTCGATTTTAATTCCATCTTAGAATAATGTACCACATTCTTAGTTGTATCCATTATCAGATGATACGCTTCGTACCAGCCGTCGTAGAGACTGTTATTGATGGTTATATGACAACCGGAACCAACAGCTTGACATGTTCGAGGCAATTTTTTTTTAAAGATTGTCTTATGGCCAATAATAAGTGTTTACAGCGTGACCTCTGTAACATGGAGTCTCGCGTTACGAGTCCCAACTGCATATAATGTGATAATAGTTGCGAAAGCGTTACATATGCCGTGTAATTACCTACTAAGTGTTGCCACAGTGTAATTATTTTATACTGTGGTATTACTGAGTTGGCGCGAGGTATGTTACGTCACGCATCAAGGAGCGCTGTGGGAAACAGTGACTACTGGCTGGTTAGCAGACAGAAGCTTGTAGGGTTTGTTAAATGATTTGTGGTATAGAACTGTAAGGGACTTTAAAAGTTACGCCTGTCAACTGTGCCAAGATAGGAATGAGCTGTTAGTCCGTGGTCAGCACATGACATAGGTCTCAGTCAAGCTGAGTATGTAGGATCAAGCTAATCTTTCATACAATACCTTAATATCAATCATATTTGAGACGTCCAAATATCTTTATTGGAATATATTTTGAACTAGCTTTTACCCGCGGCTTCACTCGCGTCACAAAAGGATAAAAATAGCCTATGTGACTATCCATACGCTCAACTATCTTCAGTTAAAAAATCACGTTAATTAGTAGGTTTGCCGTTTAAGACAGGCAAACAAAAAAAAACTTTCCTCTCGCGTGGAATTCGGTTATATCGCGCTATTTCGATTTTTCCAATAAGTAAGTAATTCGTTGACTGGTTTTAAATGACATACAACGCCATCTATTCTCTTCGACTTCCTACGTAAACCAGAGATAGTGTGAAGTAAAAATTGAAATCTGCATTGAAAGTGTAGAGGCGGTGATGCGGGCCGGGCCGGGCGGGTCATGGTCCGTCGAGTGTGAACACAGCCTAAGTTTCTCGTCGTCGTCGGCCTAATGAAGGGAAACTCAAAGATGACTGGCTGAATGGCTGATAATTTGAAACGGAACTGTCACGTAACGAAATAGTTTTTGATTGCCGTAACGTTTTTGTCACGTAATTATAAATGCGAAAGATAATAGTAGATGAATGGTAGCCTCGTCGGTGGTTGGTGTGACCGAACATAACATCATAATATCACGCCTTTTTATCCCCGAAGGGGTAGGCAGAGGTGTACTTACATTACGCACTTAAAGCCACTGTACAATGTAACACCCACTTTTCATTATTCAAAGTCAAAATCATTTATTTCAATTAGGCCAGAATGGCACTTTTGAACGTCAACAAAAAAAAATTAAAAGTGAAGCTTTTTGCTCATTCTAAGGTGTGGATTCCTATGGAGAAGAACGAGCAGGAAACTCCATAGGTTACTCTTTTTCAATCAGGTTCACAATACAATTTACTAGTTACATAGTTTTGCTGTTTGGATTGTGCGAGAACAATGTAACACGTCAAAGTGATCAAAAAAGAAAATAACCTTATTATTCATGTTATGAGTCCCATGTAATAGGGGGTGGGCCTATTGCTATATACCGGGCACAATAATTTTGTTTACTGTGTTTACTGTGACCGAATAATTTTGTTTTGATTCGGTTAGATCGGGTTTAAAAACTCTTTATTTTGTTAGAATAGGAAGTCATTCATTTTCTTTGCCGCACCTGCTCTAACATTGCAAATTGCAATTGGTAAACCTGGAAATGGCGTAAGAATGTTGTTTTTGTTGTGAACTTGATAAGTTTGCACAAAACCGTACCTTTTTTAAGAAGCGGATACAATTTCAATAAGTTAACGAGTGTTCATATTGTGAACCTCCGATTACAAGCATGTAGGGTTGCCACCTTTTTCTTTAGCATTTAAAGTACATTGACGATTATAGGTAAGAAAACAAAGTACACAGTACAAAAATAAAGTAGGTACAATTTATTCTTATTTAGTATTATATTTAAAAATATATTTTTTATTGCTTTTGCAGTTTGTATTAAATTAGTACCTTTGCTAAACAATTGCATTAAAATACTAAACAATTGCATCTTTACTAGAAATTGGGTAAGTGGCGCTGGCGAGTTATCGATTCAACATAAATCGATAAATATCGATATCGAATCGATAAGTTTTCAGAAAAATACTTACGACTTTAATAGAAATGAAGTTTGCAAAAATAAAGTATTTTCGTGTACTTTATTATTCTTATAAAGTATAGAGTACAATTACCTTAAATAACGTACAATACTTTATTATAAAGTACGGGTGGCAACCCTACAAGCATGGGAAGTAGCGGCACCTGCAGTAAATACAAATACAATACGATATTATGTACAACACAATACAATACATACAATACAATACTTGTAGTTCCCACCCGCAGCTCAGTTTCTGTTTCAATTCGATCTGTTGCCGCTTCTCGTTACAATTACACACTCGTTATGTGACGACAAAGTAAATAGCAATGTTGTTGTATGTGGGAATGGAAATAAAGGGAATTTTATGTTTTTTATGACCTTAATTGAATTAATTGCCCACTTTTACGTTAATACTTGAAACTTAGGAGCTATGAAATTGTATGCATTATGCTCACAAGTAGGTCTATTTAGAGCTACTTACAAACGATGGATTAAAATAGTTACAGAGTCTACTGGAATCAAAAACTGCAATGCTCATTAGAATCTGAAAGGATATGCGATGCGGTTGATGTTTCTATGTTTAAGTACTTTGTTGCCATGACCACGTTCCCGAAAATAATGTTTGGGGGTTGCTTGAGCCGATTTTTTTTTTAAGGGGGGAAGTCATCGAATGACTGCTCCCGCCTGGGTGAGGCGGCAGGGAGTGTCAGACTCAGTAAGAGTCTACTCACTAAAAACCACCCCGTTCCTTCTCCTGCACGTCGAGCCGGAGCCCCGGTAACCCGTTAGGTTCTCCGCGACAGCGCGAGTTGATAGTCTCAGTATTTCGTTCTAAATCTACCCACATGCGATTAATACTTTTAAAAGTTTTGTTCTGTAGTCTTTATTAGAAGTTCGATACTCGAGTAGTTACTAGGTATTATTGAACTTTTTGATTTAAATAAGATCTGTATAACATGGAATTGGAGTCTGGATTGCAGTCAGGACGCGATATGTAGGTACCTACTGTACTTACCTAAACATTATTAGGTATATTTAGCAATAACACGAAATCGTAAAAAAATGTGCAACAATTAGAATATTCCTTATAGTTTAATTTCAACGATATTTGGACTAACATTTTATGTTTACAATTCCAGCGCTGAGCATGGTGGCTGGTGTAGCGGTATACCCGGCAGGATGGGGCGAGACAGCCGTGCAGGAGACCTGCGGGCCCACCGCCGACCAGTATAATATAGGTAAGCAAACATTACTAGCTATTCGGCATAAAAAACAATTGACATGCCAGTGACGTCAGACCCAAAATGACCGGGATAGAAACATAGCATTCTCTTTCTAATGGAAAAACAATTGACATGCCAGTGACGTCAGACCCAAAATGACAGGGATAGAAACTTAGCATTCTCTTTCTAATGGAAAAACAATTGACATGCCAGTGACGTCAGACCCGAAAAGACAAGGTTAGAAATATAGCATTCTCTTTCTAATGGAAAAACAATTGACATGCCAGTGACGTCAGACCCGAAAAGACAAGGTTAGAAATATAGCATTCTCTTTCTAATGGAAAAACAATTGACATGTCAGTGACGTCAACCGCAAAATGAAAAGGATAGAAATATAGCATTCTTTTTCTAATAGAAAAACAATTGACATGCCAGTGACGTCAGACACGAAAAGACAAGGTTAGAAATATAGCATTCTCTTTCTAATGGAAAAACAACTGATAGGCCTGAAAAGACAAGGATAGAGATATGATGCTTGTTCGTTCTTATTCTGAACTTGACTATAATCACAAAAGGTGCATTCGACCTTTAAATGACTGTGTTTGGGGTTTGGAAACTGTCAAAGCAATAAATTTTTACAGTGCATACTGCACTTAAATGTCAATAGGGGTTAATAACTGATCATCTATGCAATTTTAAACTTTCTTGTCGTAGCAATAGATAAAATTTTAGAGAAATAATATGGAATTAAACATAACCTAAGATTGCAACACCGTGGAATAGGCAGACAGTAAATCGATTTAAAAATCGATACCTATGCGCGTTATCATTGGAAATGAATTAAGTAGGCAGGCTGTAGGCTCGTAGGCACGACCTAGTTGCATAATCATTGCACTACGATACAAACGTATTAATATTTAATAGGTATCTTATAAACAAATGTCAGGAGATGATTTAGATAGTCACCGGCCTTCATCCGTTCATTGTACTATTAAATATAGTTTAACAGATCACTTCATTCGCATCTGTAACATTCTCCGATATTAATTGATTGCCTTGAATTCAATTTTAATTCATTCAAGTCTTATAGTGTTGCTGTTCTAAAAATAAATTTATTTAGAAATTGAATTTGAGTCTGTGAGAACATGACATTTACATTTTCGGAATTTAGGATACAGCACCGTTAATGGTACCTAACACTTATTTTAATTTTTGAAGTGAAATGTAAAGATGATATTGATACCTTGTGTGTATTTATGAAAAGCGTTATTGCTTTGACGAACAATTTAAAAAAATATTTAAAGGGGCTTTGGGAAAATAGTTACGGATGTTTTACCAAGTTATCAACTTCAGCTGTTTTTGTGTAGCATATACTGCATATAGCAAGCTTTATATTTTTATCTTCTACAAGGTGAACAGATCTTTATCTATAGTATGGAATGGCTGAATTTCATTTGACAGGCCAGAGGGCTTAGTACGAGTTTATTCTACGTTTAAAGTAAACGTAACCAGTACGCGTTCGGCGATGTGATTGGCCGGCTCCAATGAACAAACCAATCAGAGCACAGAACGCTGTTTCGTTTCGATTACTTTAAACATGAAAAAAATTGTACAAAGGCCTCTGAGCTCAGTAGCTGACGTCTTCTGACTCATATGATGATGATAATACCTTGGGTTTCCTCGAGTACGATATAGTAGATAGTAGTAAAACCATTGATTTCCCTGATTCCAATCTTCCGAACTCTGAGAAAATATCTACTAATGCAATGTTCTATCTCATCAGGTCGATGTCACATTCGCTGGGCGTACCTGCTAGCAGTGATAGGGTGTCTGGACGGCATCGTGTTGTCTGCCCTGGCCTTTATCCTAGCGACCAGACACGTGCGTCTACAGCCAGACAGCGGGTACCCGCCACCTTCGTTGTACAAAGGTAATCATAATTTTTATTCTGATCTAACTCCACGCGGGTACAGTTTCTGTCATTTCCTACCGTAGGAATCGGTCATACTACCTTTTTAGCGATTATATATAACTAGCTTTTACCCGCGGCTTCGCTCGCGTCACAAAAGGATAAAAAGTAGCCTATGTGACATATACCAATACACATAGCGCCATCTATACCAATAATTTCGTTTTTCCTCGAGAATATAAAATTTTTCCGGGATAAAAGTACCCTATTATTTAATGAAATGAAACTTTATTTGTGATACATAGGTACATTTGGTTGGTCATTTTTAGATTAAAGTGCGCTATGATCAGCCTATTTTAGGCATACAAATACTCGTATAAGAGTTTAAATCAGTAAGTCGATTAATTAGTTAGATAAGTAAATATGAATTTGTCGTGTTTTAATAAATTACATGTCAATATTGTTCGTCAAAAAGTCAGATGAGGAAGACTACTTAATGCTTAATAAATTATAATAAATTGATGTCAATAAGTAGGTAATTAATAGATTATTGTAGTCAATACGTTATAGCTAAACATAAGTCAACAAATAAGCAAAATCAAAATTTATCCATTAAAAAATCTGAGACACTATAATAACATTTTTGACACAGTAATTGTTTTAAAGATTTTTTAAAATAATTAACATTAGCTTGTTTTAGCTCTTTTGGTAATTTATTATAGATAGCTGGATCCATACGAAAGATACTTTTATGCATTAATGCGGTATTCGTTCTGGGTATACATAGACAACTTTCATCCCTTTGTGGCCGATTATAACCCGGACTTCTAACTATACATCTGCAAAAATTCAAAGCAATCGGTTAAGTAGTTACGGCGTGAAATCGAACAAACAAACAAACTCACTTTCCGATTTATAATATTAGTAAGGAGTAATGATTGTGTTTTTCGGCTTACTCACGTAACTGTATAGACGAGGAACTCGACTAGTTTCAAGCCATATACTAGAGGCTCATATTCATGAGCAGTATTCCGCGACACACGACGCGACGACGTTACTTTTGCACTGCTAGTGGTTACTCGAGTTTGGGCTTATAAACTTATGTAAATACGCCGAAAAACATAATAATGAACTACTTAATTAAACTGTCAAACACCAAGCGGACACCGGTGACCGCAACCTATTGTTCTTTAATTGTGTCTATAAATACGGTACTCGACGAGTTAAATGCCTCTCTGCCTCGATGCAAGTGTGATGCAAGGGGTCTCGGGTTCAATTTCCGGGTCGGGCAAAGTACTACTGAGTTTTTAAAATTATCAGTAGTAGCACTAGAGTCTGGAGTTGTGCCCGGTATATGACAAGCTCACCCCCTATTGCATGGGACTCATGACATAAATAGTGAAAAGTGGGTGTTATATTGTAAAGTGGCATTAAGTGCCGTAATGTACACCTCTGCCTACCCCTTCGGGGATAAAAGGCGTAAAGTTATGTTATGTTATGTTAATTAAATGTCAACATCTGTGGGAATTGGAGTCCCCAAGCACAAAGCTTAAGAAACCCAACCAGACGTAGGTAACGTAAACAGTATAAAGAAAACCAGTTTTCACTGTAAGATTATGATAGAAGGCTAAAAGTATAAAAGCCGGCCTTAGTACGTAAAACAAAGCGTCTTGGAGAAACACTAAACAACACGAGAATATCTATACTTAGTATGTCTAGCACACAATTGCGCAACACACTGTTATACATGTTTCCACCCTGTTAAGCACACACAGCGCTGGTAGCTCGCCGGGCTCCGTGTCGCACACACTGGGTTTCTGTGTTACTGTGTTATTAGGGATGCGTCAATGGGAATAACAAAACAACAAACACACTACATCTTCACAAACTGTCGCATCTTACTAATCCTGCCCTTACGTAGTGTTGTTAGAGGCCTTAGTACAAGTTTGACTTACTCAAACTCAAACTCAAAAGCACTTATTTCAATTATACCAATATTTGGTACTTACTTTTGAAACGTCAACAAATGTACAATAAATAATAGTCTGTCAGTCTATCCGTCAGTGAAGCTAGGCGCTTGTTCCAAAATGTCGATTCGAGTGGAGAAGAACGAGCAAGAAAATCCATTCGTTACTCTTTTAAAAAAAGTCTGTTTTACATTGCTCTGATACATATTCCAATATTGTACACACATGTGAGAATAATGTAAAGACATACCTGACGCAACATACAAATAACAGAACGTACTAAAATAAAAAACAAAACCAAGAGAAAACAAATATCTTAAGTCTGACATGGTCCTCACATATGTATACTGACAATCCATATAAAATAGTGCTTCTATACAAAAAAATAATAATAATTAGGTACGTTTAAAGTATTCGAAACGAGTACGCGTTCGGCGCTCTGATTGGTTGCTTCAATGGCGCCGGCCAATCAGAGTGCCAAACGCGTACTTTTCACGTTTCATGTGCAACAGACAATATTAAAACAGTTAAAACATTAACTATGATGATACAATACGCAATTACGCACATACACACAACCCTAATTGGACAGAATATACATTCAGTAGAGAGTGAATGTGAGTGAAAGTGCATAAATTCGGAGATATCATTATATGTAAACAATAGGAAAAACTACGCGTAAGGTAAACGGCCCAATAACCGTGAAGTTTTGAACTTCCCTAACTTTGCATGCGCGCTAGGCTGAAACAAGTAGACTTATGAAAATAAATTTTATACGACTAGTTAGATAATTTAGTATACTTTTAGTATATTATAATTCTATTAAATTTATAGAAATGTTAATTAACAATAAAACAAAAAAAGTACAAAAAGGGCCAACTGTACCAGTATCCGGTAGAATTGTACTAGTTAACGTTTAATTGTCCCGAAATCCGGCAATTTTAACTGCAAATTTGAACTCTATTGCTTTACGTTAAAGTTCACATAAATAAAATATTTTTAATTAAAAAGAGTAGTGAAAACAATTAGGGTCTGTATTTAACAAAAAAGGCATGAATTGTTTTAATTTTTGTAATTAAATAATTACATAAATTATTGGTTAACACTAGTAACATATTTTAATTGCATCTTCAGTAACCTTTGGTAAAAAACTACTAAGTAAACTTAAATTTTTACATTTTAAAATAGAATTAATGGCTTCCTCAAGGTGTACCATAATAAAATACTCTTCCACTTCTTTAAACCACGATTTTAAACTGCTTCCTTGAACTAAAGTACGGGTTTGCATTAGATTTTGGGCTACTCGCTGGCCTACTTCAGGGTGTCGCTTTATAATAAGGCTTCAAACCAGTGATGACCTGGTCTGCCATTTTTAAAAGGGTTTTTTCGCTTCAATTTTTTATAAAGTACGCTATTTAACAACTGCGCCTTAGTTACAGGAAACCCACTATCTGCCATAAGAATTATTCATCTACTTAAATGATCTTCTTCTTCTTTTGCTATAACTGTAGCAGGTCCTTTGGAATATTCAATTGAATAGCGGCCGCGTATTTTGTCGTCCAACGTTGACCGTGGAATATTATATTATATATCTGAAATTGAGGCTCCTTTTCTAACTACGTCCATGGCCTTTTGTTTCTCAGTCATGGTTACCTGAAAGAAAAAAACACTTTTTTTGCAGAAATTAGCAAAATAGTAAAAATACAAACTTTCAAACATATTTATTAAAAAATGTGTGGTAATTCAATTATTTAAAACTCAGGAGCACCGAGCTTTTTCTCGCTTTCCTCAATTTTAGCTGATGCCAACCAGTAGCCATTTTCTGTAACTAAAGCGCAGATGTTGCATGGTGTTAAAAATAAAGCAAGAAAACCCTGACAGACCAGGTTGTCACTGGTTTGAAGTAATCATACAGCAGTATACAGAAGCAAGCCGACAATTGGCCCTAAATTAAACACAAAACAATGCGTTAGTTCAGGAAATCCAGAGTACTTTATTATGAGACAACTTAAATAAACAAGCAGCTCGAACGCTTTTTACGGACACCAGAAGTCCAACTTGGAAAGGTATAGATCCCTCGAAAAATTATTAAAGGTTTAGATAAATACGCAAATTAATTTACCTTTAGTCAGTTTCAATTATGGCTCTACGACTTTGTGTCAATTTTTAGTTCCTACCAACGATTTTTTGTCTCCTGGATAACTTCACAGTTCTGACATCTTGCACCCAAATCTGAAGTCATGCAAGAAATATAGGAAAGTACTGGCCTATGAAAATGTCGACAGGTGGAGTTCCAAATAATGAGACATATTTGTCTAACAAATTTTGTCAACGATGACAAAACTTGTACTGAAAATTACACACAAGTTACCATTTGTCAAGACTCGAACTGCAAAGCATAATTAATTTATTACAATATTCAAGTAAATGAAATAACTAGAGCTTTTTTGCCCTTGCTACAATTTCAACTACTGTCAAGGAGTACTATAAAACGGTGAACTTTGCATGACAAAATACAGGGCCATTGTTCTGTTGAACTCCAAAACCATGTTTAAATAATTGAATTACCATTGACCTCCGAAACATTTTTTTTTAAATATTCCTATTAATGTTCTGAAGCTGCACCCCATAAATAAAAAAAACTGGTTTTAGAGCAGCAGAGCTGTAACGCAAACTATACAAAAATTAGGAAATCATTTAGAAGAACGCAAAAGCAACCAAATGCACGTGGTAACAAAACAAATAAGATGCCTAGTAACTACATTCTATCGAGTTAACGGAAAACAATACTTATCTCAAGGCATTAAGGACCATGACGGATTTAAATGCAACTGTTAATGTGTGTACTAGTATCCGGCAGAATATATTTAATATAAACTAAAATTTCAAAGGAATATGAGACCTATTTCAAAGCAATAAGGATGCAATACCGGGTTTCGGTGCAACGTATGTTACCGGATTGATAGTGTACCAGTAACCGGTAAAAAATATACGAATTTACCGGGCATTAGGTCAAGTAGGGGTTTGTGAGTACCAATAAATGTAACATGCAAA